GCTGGGTCACCAGGGTCGGTTCCTGAATTGGGTGGTCAGAGCTCTGGAGCGCCAGCTCCCTCCTTTGGAGCTCATCAGTTTGGGTTGCTTTAAGATCCATGCCTTTTATTTTCCCTCCACATATGCCAATATAAATAGTATATTTATATGTACAACTTGACCTCTAACTTCTACGTTGAAGTCCGCAACAGAAAGAGAATGGGGCCAGTTTTCTGCGTGGTGGGAGTGGGCAAATCTTTGTCTCCCCCTTTCCTTCCTCTGTTGGAAAATCTGCTCCTACTCTCAAATTGTAGGGAAATCCTTTATTCTTGCAAACAGTGTCAATGGAGGTGGCATTTTACCGATTTTTTTTTTTAAAGCATAGAGGCGTTATAATTCCCTGCAGGTTAGTTCATTTTAATCCTAGACCAAATCTCCCCTGAACAATGTTAACTGCATGAAAATTTTATGCAAGCGCATCACATTTTTATCATGATAAAATCTGTTCTGGAATGAATGGATTAAACCCAAATTCGCTTGTTGGGAAAGGTAGTTTGGAGGTTTTCATTGTGCTCCCTCTGACTATTCTTTCAGTTGAACCATTTGCACATCTCATTCCATCTTAACAGAAAATACAAATTCTTTATTCACAGGGAGGGAAGCGCTTCTAAACTAGACATCGGTGTAGGATGATCAAGTTTACCATTAGGGAAGGTGTGAGAAGGAGCGCACACCATCCCTGTAGAACCTATAACTGAAGTTCCTTTATCCAGTTCTCCCCTTCTGCTTTATGCGTCCGAGGACAACTTCCCATCTCCCCCTCGATGCCCAGCCCTCAGAAAAGAAAAAGAAAGGGAGAAAGCGCCCTCCGTTAAGTCAGTGCGCGCTATTTTTAGCTTTTTTTCGTACGGTAGTGACACATTATTTCGTTTCCAAATATTTCTAACGATTTTCTGCTCAAGTGTAAGATAATGGAGCAAAGAGTTTGTAGGAATGGCAAAGAGGAACTCGGGGGTGGGGAAGGCATTTTTGATAAACGGTTTGCTGCTCACGAGAGGGTAACATTATTTCTGCTGACTCTCCTGGCTGAGGGGGTTTTTTTCTTTTTTCCTTCTTTCTTCCTTTTCTTTTCTTTCTTCTTCTTCTTCTTCTTTTTTTTTTAAGGAAAGTTTGGTTTGGACGACTTTGTCTGCCAGTATTGAAGGCTTTTGCTTTGGACTCGAGTCTTCGGGTTTGGTTTTTGTTCAGCGAAAGCGTTTCCCTCCCCCTGAGGACTGCCCTGTTTCATAATAAACGTGACGAAGGGGTTCAGCACTTTTTAGGGCCAATAAACCGGGTGACTCTGGAAGGGTATATATTTGGGGAAGGCCCACACCGGATCCGTTCTGTTTCCTGGAGTTCCTCGATTTTAGTCTTTTGAGTGGACCCTCCCGTCGGATCGCTAGAACCCTGCACTCATAAAAGCACGTATTTTAAATTAAATGGGGTACCAGGAGAGTCTCTAATGCGCGCATCCTTCCCAGCGCGGCTTTCCTTTCTTTTCCTCGCCCGCTCGCCCTTCCTGTCCCTGCTCGCCGACCCGGGCCCCCTGTCCCATTGCGCCTGCTGCTCTTGAACTTGTTTCTGGTGGAGCAGAAGGCGCGGTTCCCTACCCTCACGCAGCTCTTCCCAAAGCCTAGGTAAGGACGAAGGCGCGTCCGGGCAGTGGCGGGTCCCCACCAGCCGCCGCGGCCACGCAGCATTAAAACGGGGTTCCGGGGAGAAGTGGGGGGCCGGCACCAGGGGCTGGGCGACCCTGGAGGGGGCAAGGGGCGCGGAGCGGAGTAGTCGCGGGCTGTCGCCACCAGCCCGAGACGCCCTTACCCACGACGCAGGCGATTTAGAAGATGGCAGGACGGTGGGGGAGCACGCAAAATGGGGGTGCATGGTAGGCCAAGGTCACGGTCCGGCCGCCGGCGGACCCCAGGCGGGCAGCCGCTGCGCTCCGGTGCGCGGTGCGATCGGCGCTGCCCGAGAACTTGACCGCCCGTGGGCCCGAGCTCCGCGGCCACACCAGACTGGACGCGCCTGCCGGGACCTCCACCTGGCCCAATGAGGCCGAGGTCACGGTCGCGGCCTGGGCGGCGGCCCTTCCACCCCAACGCCGGCCGCCGCGGCCCCAGCCCGCTCCGGGCGATGGAGACATTGATCGCGCCTCTCGGTTGTGGCAGCGGAGAGGCCGCGGGCCGGGAGGGTCGGGCCGTCAGCGGAGGCCGGGCACTTCCGAGGAGAGACAGTCCCAGAAGCACCGATTTCTGGCGCCCTGCAGGCCGGCCGGGGCGCACCGAGGGCGCCTCGGGGTAATCGGAGAGCTGGACGCAACCTGGACGGGGTGCGCGGCGGGCCCTGCGGGTCTCCTGCCACCTCTCCAGCGCTTGCCCTGGGCTCAACCGCAATGTTTGATTTGGTTTTTTAAGCAAAGCCCCTATGGTAAACTCAAGCTGCCACTGGTCGGCTGCAGCCACCCAGCTCCCAGCAGAGCCCCACTCCCGCACCCCCAGCCTGGCCCTTGCTCCCCCCTCTGGTTCGTGTGCCCTCTCACCTCCGCTTTTCTCTGGGGGCGTCTGCCTGCTCGGTCTCGCCACCCCTCTCCGGGAAGTGGGTCTCGCCACCCCTCTCCGGGAAGTGGGTCTCGACACCCCTCTCCGGGAAGTGGCAAACCACAGCCTGGCGCACGGGGGTGGGGGGGGGCGTTTTCCTCCAGCAATGCTTTCCCACTGGAAGGCCCCCCAGGGCGCGTAGGTTCCGAGATGGGGAGACCCGAGGGGCCGGCCACCACCGGGGGGGGTGGTCCCTCTGAGTCCAAGGCGGGGGCTCCCCGCAAAGGAATGGCCTCTCCAGTTGGGACTGCAGAAACGCCAGGGGGACAAGGGGGGAGAGGCTGAGAGGCGAGGGGCCTGGGGTGAAGGGAACAGAGCTGGAGGTAGGGCCTAGTCCCCCACCTCCAAAACAAACCCGGTGGTCACTTCCACCCCGCGGACGCCTTCCTGGGCTTTGCTTTACAGCCTAGAGCAGGGCCACTGAGAGACGAGACGCTCCAGCTGGGCTCTGCCTTGGCTGCTGTCTAAGTCCAGCAGCACGATCCCAGGAAGCTGGCCCTTTTTCTAAAAGACTGGGCCTTAAGAATTATGTAAGTTTAAAGAAAAGATAGCAGCCCCCCCCCAAAATAATAGAATGTAGGCATCTTGGTATTAAATGCCAAATGAGAAACCAGCAAAAATCATTTTTCCCATTTCTCATTCTTGAGTATCGTTTCTGGGTATGGGTTTCTGTAGGGTCTTATCGAGGCTGTGTGGTGTGCTAACTTCTGAAAGCGGCCTGACGTGCCCGAAAGAAATTGTTTCCTGCTTCCTTATTTCTACAATATGTAGAGAGCTTTCAGTGTTGCAGATGTGCAGAGCATAATCATAAGGGAGCATTTATAAGTGCAAAGTGTTACCTATAGCGCAGTGGAAGTGGATCCTTGCACAGGGCAGTTTGGGTTTATTAAGTTAAATTAAAAGTGAATTATTTTAAAATGACCTACTTACCAGCTTCCCTTCTGCTGCCACATACTGCCATCTTTTCATTTCATTACGGGTGCAAGTGACATTTTTAGGGTCCTCCAGTATGTGTCTAAGCCACCTCCTGAAATTCTCAGTGGATGGCTTTTTTTCCTTATGTATCAAGATATTTTTGTTATGAGGTATACCAAGAGAAAAAAGGCTGGTAAAAATACTGGCCTTGCAATTAAATTCACTCTGGATAGCAAAGTGAAAATAATCATCTGGAATTAATCAAGTTATGTCTCTGCTTCTTGTTGAGCAAAAATATAATGACGATTTGCTTTCCTTTTCATCTGAAAAGGACTGTAAAATGTTGAATGTTCCATAAAAATTTCTCTATCCTTATGAGACAATTTTTGTTCAATTAATCAAAATGCATATTTTCGCCCTGGACATAGTAACGTCAGAAAGAAAATTTGCGGCAGCCCCTCTCAGTGTTTTCAACAGCCCCTGCAGGAACATGGAACAACCGATGACCTTCCACATTACATCAATCTTTAATAATATCATTGTCATTACTATTATTATCTGAAGTGTTAAATTGTTGCCAAAATCAATACAAGTCTACTTCTTTGAATATATTTTATCCCACTGTTGTTTTTAACATCTTTGTTAAGAGGCCAATTAATTTCCAGCTCATAGCTCCAGTGAAGTTTGCATAAGAGAGCTTCCTGACTTTTTTTTTTTTTTTTTCCGGTTTATTTCTATTTCTGAAAGAAAGCAGAGGGAAATACATGTGAAATAGATAACTTGATGTTTAAAGTGATGTGAAATTATTTTTAAACAGATGAAAGAATAAAATATACCAAAACTCTGACTGCAAATCCCTGTTGAACTAATACTTGTTTAATTCCTTTTGTTCAACTGAATATCAGGACAAATTTTTTTGAATTCTATCAGAATGTATAGCTTAGCCACCCCTCCCGATTCACCAAAATTAGAGGAATTTCTCTAAGCGGAATATAAAGGCTTTGATGAAGAAAACATCGTAATATATGTATTTATTTGTTTGTTTTCTTCTAGATTTGTTGGTGTTAATGCATCTGATATCAACTATTCAGCCGGCCGATACGACCCTTCAGTAAAAACCCCCTTTGACGTAGGTTTCGAAGGTGTGGGAGAGGTGGTGGCCCTAGGCCTGTCTGCCAGTGCCAGGTACACTGTTGGCCAAGCTGTGGCTTACATGGCGGCTGGCTCTTTCGCTGAGTACACAGTGGTGCCTGCCAGTGTTGCGACTTCAGTGCCCTCTGTGAAACCCGAGTATCTCTCCCTGCTGTTAAGTGGTACCACCGCATACATCAGCCTGAAAGAGCTCGGAGGACTGTCTGAAGGGAAAAAAGTTTTGGTGACAGCAGCAGCTGGGGGGACGGGCCAGTTTGCAGTGCAACTTGCAAAGAAGGCCAAGTGCCATGTGATTGGAACCTGCTCTTCTGATGAAAAGTCTGCTTTTCTGAAATCTGTTGGCTGTGATCGTCCCATCAACTATAACACCGAGCACGTGGGTGCTGTCCTGAAGCAGGAGTACCCCGAGGGTGTCGACCTGGTGTATGAATCCGTTGGGGGAGCCATGTTTGACGTGGCTGTAGACGCCCTGGCCATCAAAGGGCGCTTGATAGTCATTGGGTTTATCTCTGGCTACCAAACTCCTACTGGCCTTTCCCCTGTGAAAGCAGGAGCATTGCCAGCCAAGCTGCTGAAGAAATCTGCCAGCGTCCAGGGCTTCTTCTTGAACCATTACCTTCCTGAGTATCGAGCAGCCATGGACCACTTGCTTCAGATGTGTGCAAGTGGGGACCTGGTGTGTGAGGTGGACCTTGGAGATCTTTCTGCAGAGGGCAGGTTTACCGGCCTGGAGTCGGTATTCCGGGCCGTCGATTATATGTACATGGGAAAAAACACTGGAAAAATTGTAGTTGAATTACCTCACTCTGTCAACAGTAAGCTGTAAAAACAGAACAATGACATAAATCAAAGGAGAAAGAAAATGGGTACTTTATGCCTCAGAATTACTCAAATCAATTTATTTTTAGTTGGAATGGAGATAATATTTCTTAAAACAAGAGTAAGGTGTTAAGGAATAGGTTTCTCTTTCTCTTCCTTTTTTTCTCTCTTTGCCCCTCACTTGAAAAAAAAATGTGCTAATAAAACTTCCCTCGATGGCTCAGAGGTAAAACTTTTACATTCAAGTCTTTAGTCATGGACAGTCTCATTCCAGACTTTATTGTTCCAGGGAACTAAATTAATTCCTGATGCAAGATCTGATCAAATCAGTATGTCCTCAGCTTGATGAGATTTTAAAATCGGTCTTAAAAATAGTTCACAAATTCTTTGCTTTGGAGAGTTTGCTCTTATGCTAATAAGTAGTTAATAAATAAGAGATATTGCAAAGTCAGCCATATTTCAGAGTCCATATTCTCAGGACGTGGCCTTTTTTTTTCCCTATAAATCACTAGCCAACTAACTAAATAGATTTTAAGGAATTACCCCAAAACTTTGATTTTCTTAAATTATTAGAAAAAATGATTAAGTGAGCACAAACCTATTTTAAAGAAGTAACTCTTATTTAATGGCTTTTATGCACAATCATCCTGGTGAGGCACGTGCGGAAAAGAGAATTTCTCTTTTCCCTTCGAAGTAAATTAGTGTTGAAAACATATAGACAAAAAGCAAGTTTTAGACAGAGAAACTACAGAGATTCAGGGGACTTTAAAAACTTAATACATGCCCAGGAAAGGGAAAAGTATGTGCTACACCCACATTGGGGGTCTACACAACACAACTTTGCCATGCGTGGGAAAGCACTGTGTAGGCACACTGCAAGAGGGTCACAGCAGCCTGCAGCAGGGTATATCAAATAGCACTGTGCAAAGCAGGGGCCCAGGGGATCTTCGGTAATAATACGGTTGCTTCGTGTGGTAGATGTTCGGACTAGAAGGCATGTTTTATCTCTGATCCTGGAAGCAGAATAGCAGCCACTGGTCCTATGTTCACATTTTACTTCTCCACATGTTCTAGTGCAATGAAATGCTTCTTGTCACTCTCTCCCAGTGTCACACACGTGAGAGTAAGAAGTCATGCCCAGAGCTGCTCTGCCTGCCTCCTAACCTTCAGCTCACCAGAGACTGCCACAGCGTTCATCGTTGAGTTGGAAATCCCGTAGTGCCTTTCTAGTTGAAGGCAAAGCCCACCAGATTATTTTTCAAAGCCTTGGGTTTCCGTGTATCGAACATGCTGAATAAATATGAACGCAATTAAAGATGCTCCTGGAAACCTGGTGACCATATTTAAGTTTTCTTTCCTTCCGTCTGAGGAGCAAGGAAATCCTCCTGCTGAATAGCTGTTAGTATCTATTTTACAAGATTTACTCATTTTCAGGTACCTAATGTAGCTGCTATAGCATGCATGCACAACAATACAATTTATATGGTAAATGGGACCAAATGATGGCTTCACTGAATGTTATGGCTGCACTGAAGGGAAATGTCACGGTAAATAGCTGCCAAATTATGGATCATGCCGAAGTGTCACAACTGCACTAAAGACAAATGGCACCAGAGGCTATTGCCACTGTGACGCTTTTGAGTTATGAAGAGGGTAGCAGCCTGATGCGAGGCTCTGTGTCCTCATTATAGCAAAGGGTTACTAGTGCAGGGTGCAAGGAAAGCCGGGCCAGTGTGGGCTCAGTTATTAATCTGTCCCTTTCAGACCTAACAGCTGTAGCAAAACGGAAAGAGACTTTGCCTCGCTTTCAGATACACAAACAAACAAAGGGGAGGGGACAGGTTTTATGAAATGTAACTGCACAGGAAATGCCTGGTAAGGGAGGAACATTGTAATCAAATCAGCTCATCAAAGATTATTATTAAATGTAGCATAGTATACGTCTGATAGGCTTAGCTGCCGCTTGTGCAGAGGGATGTGTGAAATCTCAGCAATGATGCGCTTTCCCCCTTTGTCAAGACTTGAGGAGTAAGGACATTGCCAACCAAATTGCTGCTTCTACACTGAAGTGCATCCTGGTTTCTTTCACTTTCATGGGTGGGTAATAAAGATGAAAGACCAACATTTTAACTGATGGATCCCTTAAGCTACAGAATAGAAATTTATTATGTTTTGAAGGAATATACTAAATTCAGCCATGTAAAAAAAATTTTCAAATACCCAGGTTTAAAATAAAATATAATCTGAAAACCTCATGCTCTCTCTTTCCCCAAACTAAGGAACTACAGTGCATGCTGTTTTCATTTATTCTTAGAAAATAAGCATGAAAGATTCCACCCATTCAGATAATGCCAAAAATATGTTTAAACTTTTTTTTTGTTCTTCTGAAAAATGATTTGTAAATTGAGGGTCATAGTTCAGCATCAGTTTCATCTTCTGGGATTATCGTTCAAGACCAGCCGCTAATGGGAGGTGAAATGGTGCGATGCTCTCAACACCTTTCTTCTGAACTGCATTACATATCACAAAAAGCACATCCATAATTCAGGGCAATTGTCAGTCTTTGTTTTAGAGACGGGGCCAGGGCTGGACGATCGTGGAGGAGGAGTTATTTCCCAGTTCTCAAGGTGGCCTTCTCTGCACATCAGCCTTGAGGCCTCTGGCTGGGCACATGGAGGGGCTTGACTCTGGTAGGTGAGCCGAGAAACCAGAGGGTCCCAGCTGTTCCTTACCATTCCATTGTGACTTCTAAAAAGCCAAATGCTATTCCTTCAAATTTTTTTTGCATGCAAAAAATACCAACAATGTCATTTCGGGTCCCTTTGATGATGACTTCTACTGTTGACCAATTTCAGCGTTAAAAAAAAATTCAGAGAATAGTTTGCAAAGAAACAACACAGAAGTTTTGCGTGATACGTTCTATAAATTGTTATTGTATGATTTCATCTGAATGGAGTTTCTCAGGAGTAGGACAGAGCCTCTGTAAATGGTCATTAGTATTACATTCAGTATTTATCTATGAAAGTGCAGTGACAAGTGGCTGCTTCTTATTAAAATGAAAATCCTGCATTATGTGCTTAAGGAACTTTCCAGCTAATGAGGATGTAATGTCCTCAGTACAACACAGACCTTCTTTTTTGTTCACCACCACAAGATGCTGGAAACTTGACAAATGATATCATTTAAGACACATGCCTGCCGTAGGGACCTGGTTTTTGGCTTCCTGTTTCTGGCTTTTATTTAGGTAACATTTATAACGGCCACACGACTTGTAATGGGTAATGTTTTAACCCCTTCGTGGAGTTCCCAATTAGGTTGAGTTTACTACTTTCAGAGTTTCCTTTAAAAGGGGGCGGGGCTGCTTAATCCTGAAAATGTTTTACTTGATCACTTTACCACCCGTACATATAGGATAAATACCATATTTTAGATTTATATAAAAACAGATGAGCAACATACAACTTTCAGAAAAAATACAATGGAAAAAGACCAAGCACAATCAACTATGGACAATCATTTCCTACGGGTTACAATACAAGCTCTATGAATGGAACCCAGATGCGAAATGACCTGATTTGAAGGATTCATAATTACTCTTCTCTATACTTTCCACTTTCTTGTTTTATTAAATAGTATTTGTTATTTATAGTACTTATTCAGAGACACAGTTTATCTTTGCAAACTTTGTTAGTTAATTTTTGTGTTTGGAGTTTGTTGGGATTTTTTTTTGAAAGTTAGATTTTCCGTAACTAATTTTCTAGTTATGGCCCAGAATTAAATATTTAGGATCATATTTCAGAAGTCGAAATGTAAAACTCTGGATTATCAATGCTGTTGGTGTGGGCATTTTAAGCTTTGAATTCTATTTTTTACTAGACCTTTAGCATCATGTTATTTCAACTTATAAAAGGAAGAATGTTTGATATGAGAACCTTATTGCTGTTACATGAGCAAACTATGGAATGTTGGCCCAAAAAAACAGCTAACCAAATTTGTAAATAATATTTTACCAATATTTATCAGTTCAAGTAATTCTAGATAGAAGAGAGTTAATATTCAAAGAAAGTCAAATAAGGTGCATATTTCAATTATGTATTCTTGAGTCTTCTGTAGAATTCTTTCACTAGATCTGAGTAGCTAATGAGATGTGACAGTAAGACTAAAAGTGTCCTGGTGTAAATACCGTCCCAGCATCTATTGATACGACATAGTGCCCATCACAGGCCTGCCCTTCAGTGCTTGCTCAAAGCATCCCGGGAGACAGGGCCACTCTCGGGAAGCGTGTCTTGGACCCCTCCAGCAGCAGGCTAAGTACTGCATGGAGTGTAGTTTGGGGAAACCAACATGTGGCTCGTATGTGCCCAGAAGCACTGAGCCAAAAGTACAGAGATTCCAACGGCCCCCAAATGAAGAGTTCCCCTTGAAGGGCACTATCTGACAGTGTTTCTGCCAACGTGAAATTAAAATAATAATTAAAACACACCCAACTGACTGGTGTTAGTGTCCAGTACGAAAGATGGATTTGAGCTTAGAGCTCAGGAAAATGTTCCATAAAATTGTCAGCGGCTGTTGTGCTTTCTCATCCCAGGTGAAGAGCTGACCGCATCTTAGAATGACTTGAGTAAACGGTTTCTTTGGTCAGTGGGAGGTGCAGGAGCATGTTTAGGGGCTAAAGGGTGTCCTGCTTGGAGGAGCCTTTGCCTTGCTCTCTGTGCGCCCACACCTGGGGGGTCGGCCAGCAGAAACTTAGACCTGGAAGGAGCCTGGGACACTCTGCCCTCATAAATGAGAAGACTCAATTGTCCTTTAAACGGTAAAATTTGAGATTTAAGGGACAATCTAGTTCTACCCATTTTATAAATGAAAAAACTGAGATCCAGCAAGAATAGGTTCTTTGTCCAAAGTCACGGAGTTTATTGGACTCGGAAATGAAGCCGGAGCCCAGGCAGATCCCTTCCTAGCGCATCAGGCCGCTCTGTCCTACCCCCTTTGTAATTTGCCAAGGTCCCTCGCTATATGGCTGATTAAAAGTGCCACAAAATAACAACTGGCCTCTGTTATAAATTTTTTGGTGGATGAAATGACAACCAACCCAGGAAGAATATCACAGTTCTGACCATGAAAGTGTGTTCTACTCCAGACTCCGTTTAATCCAGCACAAGTCAGGGTTCCAGATCATTTGCTTCTGTGTCATCTGAATACCACGCAGCCTTTAGGGGGGAAAAAAAAAAACCGCAGTGGAATT